AAGGATCTTGCTGAATTGCTTAGGGTCTAACTAATTTGCTGACGCTGGCTTTCTACTCGCTATCCTCCTGCCTTGGCATCACTATCTGTTGACATGTAGGTGTGTGTCACTACACTCAGCTACAGTTGCTCTTTTATTGTTGTTTTGCTGTTGTGCAGTACTGGGGATTGAACACAGGTTCTTCTCCCATGTAAAGCAAGGGATCCATTGTGGAGTTACATACTCATCACCTCTATATTTTCTCTTAAGAACTACAAGGGACAACTGCATTGGTCCAAGATGTCTGGATAGCCATCTACACCCTTCACTCAGGAACTAGGACACTTGTTGAGACAGAGGCACAGGCAGTAGTGGCTGTGGCAGTACAACTGCTGGGTCTTGGGGAGCCAAGCCATCAGGTGCTGGGTTCCTAGATCTGATCACTGCACATGACACCTTTCCCTTCCCTACCCACAGGGATTTATGACGTTTTGGATTTCCACTGATGCAAACTTGCAGGTTTCCCCGGTACTATCTCCATCTGATCACTGCTAGTGCTCATGTGTGGCTAAGGTGAAGAGTTCAGAAGCCCAGTAACCCACACTGGAAGACACCACTTCAGCCTTCAGGTAATGAGACTTATTTCTGTGTGGGTTAATACCCACTTGCAGTAAGTCATTTTTCTAAGGCCAGCAAACCTTCTTCCATGAGACTTTAGCATGCTGACAAGCATTAGTGCTAAGGAAAACTCACACGCTGGTGAGGGGTTTTCCAAAGCATGAATGGTTGAGATACTCCTCCCAGGTTTCACGAGGAGCTGATGCCTCATGCATTACCTATCAGCACTTGGACCATCAAGCATCATGGATGTGCCCCTCAACAGAAAGGTGCACAGTGCTGTAAGGTAATTAGCACACGAGAGACAAGCAAAGCCCCTACTCTTGTCCGCTCCATGAAAACAACTTCGAGAAACTAGGTGATGTACTTAATTCTTCTCAAGGTGAGTATCCCCTTCTTTCTCGAATTTCACAAAGGACCATCTCTGAGTCTCTCCCAGGAGTATCCCAATCAATTAGTGATGGTTCCCAAATTAAATGCAGGGTCCACAGAGCTTTAGCCTGTTTCTTGTTAATCAGGACTGAAGCACTTGATAGGTAGCTATTCTTTCACTGCCTTGAGGGAGGAAGGCATTCAGTGGGTAAAGCCAGTGAACCATTATGTGTAGGGGATGCGAGTACTCATTTGAGGGGAGAAATGGCAACACCAGGTACAAATCAGTAACTGTGGGCAGACCAAGGTCAAACCCATCAAAAAGTGCAGGTGCTACTCAGGTGGTTTCATTGTACCCTGGAACCAGTCACCAAGAGCAATTAGTAAAAGCTGAGCAGCTGTTTTTATTCATGTTCACTCCATTATGTTTATGCTGCAAAGGTTTCTAACAGCCTCCCATTCACACCACTAGCTATAAATGAATTAGCACCCAGGGTGACTTGGACAAACATGTAACACCCCCACTGGACACATAAGAAAAATGGAAACACAGAGTTAAGCAGAGGAGGGGACAGGAAGCCATCCAGGCCCACAGAGGGATTGCACTTGATTGCTGATGTAATAAGGGACAAGGGGCAAAGCTTTGTAGTATCATCAAAGTGAGGTGCTCTTGGTTCCCTCAAAATTATGTGGTTTGGGATAAGGCTGGTAGGAGGAAACTGAAATACCTAATACTATAGATCAATAAGAATTTAATACTATACTATGATGCCATAAAAATCCTAGATACTGTAATAATCACATGGTGCTGAATTAGATTATCTTATAAAATAGTATATATAATAGACATTATTTACTTACAAAACTGTACTGATCCTATATAGCATACACACACGGATATATGCATATATATTCTATGTACTAGATACTTCTATGCTACATATTAGTGTACAATTTTTTTTTGCCTATAGATACAAAAATTCTCAACAGAACAATAGAAAACCATAAATAGAAAGACCTACAATGCAAGATGAGAGATTTAACCCAGAAAATCGATGTGTTTTTACACCTTAAAGTCGAGCTAAAATGCATATCTTTTGGGTGCATCATCCTGCACCTCTGAATGTCACAGGGAGATGAAGGCATTCCCACTTCCCATGCACTCCTCGTCTTTCTCTCACTAATAAATTCGGTGTGTCTGAATGGACCTAGAACAACTGAAGGCCTGGTGGCATTTCTTCATTCATTTACCACATTTCATTACCACATGTGAATCCTTCCTTCTTTTCAAAGAAAACTGGAAAATTGAAAGCATTACCAGATTTCTTAGTCATCAGGCATTTCTCTAATGTGAGTCCTGATTTGTCTTTGAAGGAAACTAAAAAGATGGGATAATCTTCACATTCTATACTCCTAGGCACTGCCCTGCATGAGTTCTTTCATGTAACTCAAGTGCTGTAGCATGGACCTGGAATGCCCCGCAAAGCCACATGTGCTGGAGGCTGGGTCCCCAGCTGGTGGTGCTGTGGGAGGACACTAGGAGGGGATGTCTACTTGCAGCAGGTGGACTACTCAGACGTGACTTTGAAGGCTATATGTGGTTGGTGGCCCATTACTCCCTCTCTCTTTCCCCTTCTGGGTGTCATGAGGAAGGCAGCTCTGCTCTGCGCTTCCACCATGATGGTCCATTTCCCAGAGCAATGGGGCCACTCAATTATGGACAGAAACCTATGATCAAGTGAGCCAAAATAAATCTTTCCTTCCTTAAGTTGATTTTTCTCATGTATTTTGTCACAGGGGTGGAAAGTGAACAAATGAGGAGAATTGGAATATTGGACACCTGCACCAGATATCATAACAAAAACCTGGGAAAACTGGACACTTCCCATATTCCTCACATTCTCAGGGCTTCTTTCCATAATAAGAAATCCGTGCAGAGGAAAGAAAAGGAACCAACACACATTCAGTTTTGTTTACCAGAGTGAATGAAATGGCTTTGAAGGCAACTGAGAACACTCAATGACTTACCAACTATTGTTTACACTCAAAGAGGTTTTCTCTCATGTGAGCCCTTTCATGACTCTGAAGGTGACTGAAAGTATCAGATCATTTGCCACATTTTTTTTCTACATTCAATGGCTTTTTTCAAGCACAATGTCTTTCATATTTAAAAGGAAGCTCCAATAAAGGGAGGCATTTCCCATTGTTTTCATCCACAGTGCTTCTCTCCAGTATGAGTTGTTTGATGTTTTCTGAGCATAACTTTAAGTGAAGGCTGTGCCACTGTGTTCACAATCATATGAGTTGTTTCTGCTTTTGAAGGTGAGAGGGCCAACTCCAGGCTTTTCCACGTCCTTTGCATTCATAGGCCTTCTTTCCGTGTGAGTTTGTTCATGTGCATGAAGGTGACCAGACTTAGTGAAGGATTTTCCACACTGTTTACATTCATAGGGCTTCTCCCCAGTCTCAGTTATTCGATGTACTGTCAGGTAAGAACTGCAAATGATTTATCCCACTGTTTACCTTCGTAAGGTTTCTCTCCAATATGAGTACTTTCAGGTGAGTGAAGATGAACAGAAACAGGGAAGGCTTCCCACAATCTTTGCAATCTTTGCAATCTTGCTTCTCTCTGGTATGAATTGATCCCACTGTTGGAAGGGAACTGGATGTAGCAAAGGCTTTACCATACTGGTTGCATTGCAGTTGAGGATAATCAGAACTAGTGAGGGCTTTCCCAACACTGTTAACATTCATAGGGATTTTCTCCAGTAGGTGTTTTCAAATGGAACTGAAGTAAGCAAAGGCTTTTCCACATAGCTTACATTCTTAGGACACTAATCCAGTGTGAGATGGTTCATGTTTTGAAAACTCCAGGAACAACTAAACCCTTTCCTACATACACATTCATAAGGTCCATTTCTAGTGTGCTTCATCACTTCCTTTGAATACTTGGGAGAGAAATGAAGGGTTTTCTGTACTGCTGAAGTTCATATGTCTTCCCACCACACTCCTCATGTTCATCTGGTTTGTAAGCAGACTAAAATATGATGTGCCTATTAAGAAATAATAGAGCCTGGTGCGTTGGCCCAAGCCTGTAATCCCAGCAGCTCGGGAGGCTGAGACATGATTATCTCAAGTTCAAATCCAGTCTCAACAAAAAGTGAGGCACTAAGCAACTCCCTGAGACCCTGTCTCTAAATAAAATACAAAACAGGGCTGAGAATGTAGCTTAGTGTGAGTGAAATTTCTAGCACTCCCACCTCCAAAAAAAAAAAAAAAAGAATGGAAAATATGAAGACATTTCCAAATATACCACACTCACACTGATTTACTCAAGCAGATATGTCTTTTTTTAAGTTAAGATTTAGGATCTCACTAAAGGGTTTTCCACAATGAATATCTGTTTTAATTTTGGTAGAGTCTGTCATATGACTTCTGGAAAAATTAAAAGCACATATTTATTTTTGTTTTTCTAATTTTTTTTCTTTAATAGATCTTAGACTCTCATTATTATAATACCAAAGAAAGCACAGATTTTGTCATGTCCAAATTATTTCAGAGTAAATGAATTGATTATGTTGAAAAATTGCTTGCATAGCTATTAACAAAACAGTGATGCATGCCTGTAATTCCAAAGGCTCTAGAGGCTAAAGCAAGAGGATCGCAAGGTTAAAGCTAGCCTCAGCAAAAGCAAGGTGCCAAGCAATTCAGTAAGACCTTGTCTCTAAATCAAAAAAAAAAAAAAAGAAGTAGGGCTGGGGATGTAGCTCAGTGGTCAAGTGCCCCTGAGTTCAATCCCTGTTACCCCCTCAAAACAAAAACAGTGGTATCAAGAATGTGGTATCAGTACTGTCAGAAAATCAATTATTCTTTATAGATTAAATATATATCTTCATTAAGCTTATATTTCTGGTGAAAAATTGCTAAGAATTCTATATTGTGCCTATTTCTTTTGTTTCCTTGCATGTAAACTTATAGGATGTGCTAAAAATCCCTCAAGGGACCCTGCTTCCTCTTTTGAGTAAAATTACCTTAGATTCCTCCATGGAGTTTTTGCTCTGATCTTCAATGTTCTGATCCTACTGTTTACTTCCTGAAAGGAAACCATAAAATCATTAGGAATTATGTATCATCAAAAATATCTAAATATTCTAAAATATCACACAAATGTGTGTTGGAGACCAGAAGAGATTGAAAACATGAGGGATCTCTTCTCTACACACAACATATTCACATGATTTTGAGGTCTCCAATATTTACTCCATGATTTGTTCAGAAAAACTCAGACTGTCAGAACTTACTTCCTCAAACATATGCATTCCAATATTAGAAAGGAACAACTCAGAAAAGCAATAGAAAAACACCCTTCTCATGGAGTCTTTGTAGGGTGCATGTCTAATACATGGACTAATGAAGCCCTACTACCTCATGTGAAGAAGAGAACTAATATTAGTCCTCCTGACAGTGCACACCCTTAGAACCGCCTGCTGACAAAGTTGAAACTTTGCAGATAGCGAGACCTAAGAATCTGGGAGGGATCCCACCAAACTGAGCATTAACACTGAGTTATCGTATAGTTATAGAAGGGAAACAACATGTTATATACTAGATGTCTGCTTTCCTTCAGAAAGCCTATTATTTAGTTCTTTTCTTAGGATAAGACCCTAAAGGATCAGGTCCCTGTCCCTCAACTCTTGCCAACCCCCACCCCCCCAAAAAATAAATAAATAAAAATAAGCCCTTTGAACAGGCACAGACTCTCTGATAGACAACATTTCATCCAGGTGGTCACAATGTGTTAACTGGGGATTGAGCTCATCCTGTGGGACTACACCAAGAGAACCATTGGATGTTTGAAACAGATTTACTGAAGGCCTAATGATCAACACACAGAACAAACTGATACTTTAATTTGACGTCAAAACAGAATGGGATAAGTAGAAACCTACCATGAATCTAAAAAAAAAAAAAAAAAAAAAATTCAGTGTCCCTAAGATGTCATTCTTCCACATGATATCCATATAAAATTTGATATAATCTCAATAACACTTACTAGTAGTCAATGGATGCTACTTTTCCAAGCATAATAAGAATAATTAATGTGTAAACACAGCAGATTGTTGGCTTATATAGTCTACAGTCATGTGCCTCATAATAATGTTTTGCTCAAAGGTGTTTTGGGTTAATAATAGGTCATTATATACTAAAGCTGTCTGTAGTAAAGGGACTCCTTGTGTGTGCACAGTGCTGCTGGTATAAACAAACCTAATGCACTTTCAACTGCAGTATTTCATAAAGCAAAATGCTGTGGAGATTTTTATCCCAGGAAACATTGAGACCATAAAGCCTAGGTGTCCAAGAGGCTGTGCCATCCAGGATTTGGAGAATACAGAAAGATGTTTGTGCAATGGTGAGGCAGCCTAAAAATGTTCCTCCAGAATGTATCCCTGTATTTATGTGACATATGAGTGTACATAAAGGACTTTCTAATTATGATACTCAGAATTATTGCTTCATTCTTACTCTATCTGCTGATTCTGTGCTATCAGACAGAGTAAGAATGAAGCAAGACAGAAAAACATTTTAAGGGGGATGACAATTATAGGGAAAGCTGAATAATGACACAAAAGGTATTTGAGAGGGAAAAATAAATCACAAATAATGTGAAATGGGACCAAAACTAACTGGTATCTAATTGCAAACATGCACCGTTTTCCTTTCTAATCCACAGACTATGGTTCATTAGAGATTCTGATGTGAAAAACAAAAATAAACACTTTCAGATGTGTATAAGAAATGTCTTACAGAATACAAAACTCTTTTTCACAAAGAGTAAACATTGAAAGAGTAAATATTGAAAAAAATGAGAAATTCAAACACATTAAAAAAAGGGAATTAAAAGATAAAAATGGAGGAGAAACCTGCAATACGTGCAACACCATAGAGCAAGGTCACAGAGTGAGAAGAATAAATGCACAACTAAAATGGAACACAGCCAGGACATGGAGCAGAAGTGAAAGCCATGTGTGGAGAGAGGACCACCTCAGTGAAGAGGAAGGCCCAGGAGAACGGCAAGCACATGGCGTTGACACCCACTGCAGGCCAGGGACCTTGGGACAGGACAGAGGACTGGGAAGAGCAGGAGGCTGCCACTGCAGCAGTATTGTCTCTTGTGAAATTTACCACGACCTGCAGCCCATGAGTTTTCCTGACTATTCCTACAAATTTATAATGTTTTTTCCCCAGAAACACTGCCAATATATCAGTGAAGATTCTCTCCCTCTCCCTCCCTCCCTCCCTCCTTCACTAGCTCCCTTATGACCTTGTACACATGCATGCTTACATCTTGCCCCACCTCAAGCTCACTGGTTAAGGCATGGGGACAAGAAAGAGGACATTTTCTACTATTCCCAGAGAACCCATCCTTCCTGAGCCCTACATTCTGAAGAAGCTCTTTCCAAAGGCTCACTCACCTGAGACGTTCTCAGCCAACACATCTGGGGAAAGAGAACCCCAAGCCCATCTTCCCCTACTCTTCCTGCATAGATCAGGAGGAGGAAGGGCTGAGAAGTGCTCATGAAGAATGGCCCTGGGAGGCCTGAGTGTCCTGAAGACCAGGGAAAGGCCCACTCAAGAGAATGCCCCCCACAAGATACCGCACCACCAGCCGAATACCTCCATCACAACAGCATAGCTGAAGGAACCATAGGTCACACCTCAGTTAACAAGTCCCCAAGGTACAACAGATGGGAGTGACACGGAAAAAGTGGACAGAAGTCAAGAAACACATCATGTATGGAAGAAAGAGAAAATATGAACAGTTCTAGACATGGACAGAGTGAATTAGCCTCAGTGAATGAAAACCCAGGAGCAGCAGTTCATTGCTGAAATCTCCCCAAAATTCACCACAATTAATACATATCTTCTTCAAATTCTTTCTGAAAATTGAAAAGGGGAAAGCACTTCCACAATCACTCCTTGAGGCCAAAATTGTGCTGATTATGTATAAGAAATTGTACATAACTATCTTTCATGAATACCTATGCAAAAATCTTCAAATAAATACCAATAAACCATCTGAGGAGATTCATTTAAGGAATACACATAAAGACCAAGGAACTGTATTCTTGAACTGCAAGATGGTCTCACACTTGAAAATCAATTGGTGTGACACAGGATTTGCAACATGACTGAAACACAGAGTCATCTCACTTGGTGCAGAAAAAAAAAAAAACATTTGAAGAAGACAACACACTTGTACAATAAACAGCACAACAATTTGGTCAAGAAAGGGGTTACTTCAACATAATTAAGTAATACCTGGAAAGCAGAGAGGACCATCATGACCTATGGTGAAAAAAAGAAATGCTTTCCCTTAGGATTAGAACATAAGAAGTAAATCTCATCAATTCCTACAAGAACATGCAGAGCACAAGTCTCACAACACTAGATTTGGAAATGGTTTCTGGGATGTTGTAACATCATGAGATTAATGAAAGCATAACAGATCAATTTGATTTCACCAAAAACAGCTTTCAGTCCTGTCATTTGCAGCACTGAGGCTGGGACTATGGCACCAAGTTCAGAGAAAGAAAGCAGCACACAAGGCCCCTGTGTGTCCCCCTCACAGGGTGAGCTACAGAGTGATTTCACAGAAAGTACAAGATTGTCACCAGAGGGAGGACAGGGTGGGAAGACAGGTGGGACTCACCCACAGAGACAGCATCCACAGGCCCCAAGATGGGAGGAGTCAGAGCAGCCTCTGCACCCATCACCTCTCTCCATCATCCACAGCAACCAGTTCACACAATGTGCATTTGACTTATTTCTGGCTTCCCGCTCCCTAGAGTCTCTACTGCAAAAGAACAGGGACATTTGAGGTTGCTCCTTCACTGCTGCTCCTACCAGAAAGCCTGCTCACAGCGGGAGATCAGAAACTGAGAATTTGTGGGGCTCCAGCACACCCACACATACACAGAGGCCTCACACAAACCTCCTCACAGGGACATGACTGCTACACTTTCAAAGGCTTAAGTGACCACCTGCATGTCACATGTCACAGCGGTGGCTCCTGGACCCCAAGCCATTTCCCAAAGTTGATGTATCCCAAATGAATCCACATGTAGGTCTTCATGCACGCCGCACTGCAAAACTT